TGGAGCACAAGTTAGGAGTCATCAGGACTCTGTATCACAGAGCAGACAGCGTCCCCACTAGCTCAGGAGCCAGGCAGAAGGAGAAATCCTACACAAGACAGGCTCTAGAGCAATGTGGATATCCTAACTGGGCCTTCCTGAAAGCAGAGAAGAAACCCAAACAGGACTCCAGTCAGCCATCAGGTGAAAAGGAGGAACCCAGACCCAGACCAGTGGTCATTCCATATGTTGAGGGAGTATCAGAGAAACTGAGACTTTTTTTAATTCAACCTTTATTTTATTTAGACAGTTAAATCCCATTGAGCCTCGAGGACTCATTTACAAGAGAGACCTGATTTCAACAAAGAATGATGACAACAATGGACAACAGCGACGACAATAAACAGTTCCTCAACAAGTTCTATGCACGCTTTGAAGACCCGAACAGACCACCCAGCACCAGACTCACCTCACCACCGGATGAAGAGCATCTCAGCGTGACCTCAGCAGAAGTAAGGAGTACCTTCAGGAGGATTAATCCGCACAAAGCAACTGGCCCAGACAACATCCCTGGAAAAGTGTTGAAAGAATGTGCTGATCAGCTCTGTGAGGTGCTGGCAGACATCTTTAACACCTCACTTACCCTGGAGACAGTTCCCACCTGCCTGAAGACTGCCACCATCATCCCAGTCCCAAAAAGCTCTACAGTGACTGGTCTGAATGACTATCGGCCAGTGGCCCTCACCCCGGGACAAGCTAAATGCTTCGAAAAACTGGTCATGACTCGCATCAAAACAACCATCAACATCAACGAGGACCCTCATCAGTATGCATACCGTGAGAACCAATCAACAGAGGATGCAATCTCCTCTGTGGTCCACACTGCGCTCAACCACCTGGAGCAGAAAAACTCTTACGTCCGTATGCTCTTTGTGGACTTCACATCTGCCTTCAACACCATGATCCCCCAAACCCTGATGGACAAACTATCCACACTAGGACTAAGCCCCTCCATTTGCAACTGGGTACTAGACTTTTTAACAAACAGACCACAGTTAGTGAGGATCCACAACCTCTCCTCCTCCACCATAACCCTCAGCACTGGCTCTCCTCAGGGATGTGTGTTGAGCCCCCTCCTGTTTACTCTGCTCACGTATGATTGTCCAGCTACCCATCCAGGCTGTCACATTGTAAAGTTTGCAGATGATACAGCGGTGGTGGGATGCATCACAAACAATGATGAGTCCAGCTACAGGCAAGAGGTGGAACACCTGGAGAGCTGGTGCAGAGAGAATAACCTTCACATCAATGTGAAGAAGACAAAGGAGATGATTGTGGACTTCAGAAGGAACAAAAACATCTACACCCCCCTGAACATAAGAGGATCTGCAGTGGAAGTGGTCTCCAGCTACAAGTACTTGGGTGTGCACCTGAACAACAACCTCAGCTGGAGCAACAACACCACCAGCCTGATGAAGAAAGCTCATCAGAGACTCTACTTCCTCAGACGGCTGAGACGAGCTGGTCTGGAAGCTCAGTCCTCACCTCCTTCTACAGGTGTGCAGTGGAGAGCATCCTGTGCTCCAGCATCAATGTGTGGCATGGAGGCTGCACAGCTGCAGAAAGAAAAGCTTTGCAGAGAGTGGTGAAGGCTGCACAGAAGATGTTGGAGTCAGTCTCCCCACCATCACAGACACCTACACCTCCAGATGCAGGAAGAGGGCCACCTGCATCATGAAGGACCCCACTCACCCAGCACACACACTTTTTGCCCCACTCCCCTCAAGAAGGAGGTTGAGGAGCATTAAGTGTAGAACCACTAGACTGAGGAAC